CGGAAGTGTTTGAGGGCCGGAGTTGAGGGCCTGGAGGTTGTTTGAGGGCCCGGATGGTGTTTGAGGGCCTAGGTTGTCCGAGAACCGGGGGTGTTCTTGCGAGCCGATATTGTTGGGCCCTTACTTGAGAGCCAGAGTTTTGCAAGCCGGGGTCTTGCGAGCCGGGTTGAACGCATGTTCATGGCCGGCCCGATGTTCAAAGTGCCGGGTAATTGGAGGCCGTGGGTGTTGTAGGGTGTTTAGTCCAGGCGGGGGGTGTTGCAGGGATTTTAAGGGCGAGGGATTTTTGAGGGCTGGGGTCTTGGGGCCAGGGGTGTGAGGGCCGGGTCTTGTGGGGCCAGGGTTTGAGGTCCGGGGTGTTGGGGGCCGGGGTCTTGATGGCCGGGGGTGTTAAGGGCCGGGGGTGTTTAAAGGGCGCGGGGGGTGTTAAGGGCCGGGGTTTTTAAGGGCCGGGGGGGTGTTAAGGGCCGGGGGTGTTAAGGGCCTGGGGTGTTAGGGCCACGGGGGGTTTTAGGGCCTGGGGTGTTAAGGCCGTGGGTGTTAAGGGCCGGGGGTGTAAGGGCCGGTGGTGTTAAGGCGTGGGTGTAAGGGGCCGGGTGTGTTAAGGGCCGGGGGTTTAAGGGCCGGGGGTGTTGGGGGCCGGGGGTGTTTGGGGGTCGGGGGTCTTGGGGTCACGCGGTGGGTGTTTAGGGCCAGGGGTGTTTGAGGTGTGGGTGTTGAGGGTCGGGTTTGTTGGGGGTCGGGGGTGTTGGGTTCGGGGTGGTTTGGGGGTCGGTTTGTTGGGGGCCGGGGTGTTGGGGGCCGGGGGTGTTGGGGGCCGGGGTTTTTTGGGGGCCGGGGGTGTTGGGGGCGGGGGTGTTGGGGGCCGGGGGTGTGGGGGCCGGGGGTGTTGGGGGCCGGAGGATTGAGGGCCGGGGGTGTTGGTGGCCGGGGTGTTGAGGGCCGGAGTAAATGAGGGCCCCGGGGTCTTGTGGGCCCGGGAAGGTCTTGGGTGGGCCGGGGGTGTTGAGGGCCAGGGGTGTTGATGGCCAGGGGTGTTTTGAGGGCCAGGGGTCTGGTGGCCGGGGGTGTTGAGGGCCGGAGTTTGAGGGCCGGGGGTTGAGGCCGGGGGTTTTGGGGGTCGGGGGTGTGAGGGCCGGGGGTGGGTGTGGGCCGGGGGTGTTGGGGCCATGGTGTTGGGGGCCGGGGGAAGTTGAGGTTCGGGGGTGTTTATGGTCGGTGAGTTGATGGTCGTGGGTGTTGAGGGTCGGGGGTGTTGGGGGCCGGGGGTGTTGGGGGCCGGGGGGGGGTGGGTGGGGGGGGGGGGGGGGGTTGTTGGGTTGGTGGGTCGGGGGTGGTTGAGTGTGGTCGGGGGTGTTGAGGGTTACGGGGGTGTTGGTGGCCGGGGGTGTTGGGGGGCCGGTGTGTTTGGGGGCCGGGGTTTGGGGGCCAGGGGTTTTGAGGGTCGGGGGTGTTGAGGGCCAGGGGTGTTGAGGTCGGGAGTGTTTGGAGGCCGGGTCTTGGAGGGCCGGGGGTGTTGAGGGCTGGGGGTGTTGGGAGGGCCGATGTGTTGCAAAGCCGGAGTTTTGCGATCTGGGGTCTTCAGAGCCGGTTTGTGTTGGCGCATTTGAGGGCAACTTGTTTTCTTTGGTGTGCAGGTCCGGGGGAGTTGGGTGCCCCCGGGGGTGTTGAGGGCCGGGGAAGTTGGGGGTCAGGGCCGGGGGAGTTGGGGGTCAGGGCCGGGGGAGTTGGGGGGGTCAGGGCCGGGGAGGGTTGGGAGCCGGGGGTGTTGGGGGCCAGGGGTGGTTGGGGGCCAGGGGTGTTGGGGGCCGGGAGTGTTGGGGGCCGTGGTGTGGAGGCCGGGGTGTTGGGGGGCCGGTGGGTGTTGGTGGGCCGGGGGTTTTTGGGGCCGGGGGTGTTGGGGGCCAGGGGTGTTTAGGGCCAGGGGTGTTGAGGGTCGGGTGTGTTGAGGGCTGGGGTGTGGGGGTCAGGGGGTGTTGGGGGCCGGGGGTTTTGAGGGTCGGGGTGGTGGGGTCCGGGGGTGTTTTGAGATCGGGGGTGTTTTTGGGGCCGGGTGTTTTGAGGGTCGGTGTCTTGGGGCCGGGGGTTTTGGGGCCGGGGGTGTTGAGGTCTGGGTTGTTTGGGCCGGGGGTGTAAGGGCCGGGGGTTACGGGCCGTGGGGTGTTAAGGGCCGGGGGTCCTTGGGCCCGGGGGTGTTAAGGCCGGGGGTGTTAAGGGCCGGGGGGTTTAGGGCCGGGGTGTTAAGGGGCTCGGGGGTGTTAAGGGCCGGGGGTGTTTAAGGGCTGGGGTGGTAAGGGCCGGGGGGTGTTACGAAGGCCGGGGTGTTAAAAGGGCCGGGGGTGTTAAGGGCCGTGTGTTGGGGCCGGGGTGTTGGGGGTCGGGGGTGTTGGGGGTCGGGGGTGTTGGGGGTCGGGGGTTTTGGGGCCGGGGGTGGTTGAGGCCATGGGTGTTGAGGGCCAGGTGTGAAGGGTCGGGGTGTTGGGGGTCGTGGGTTTTTGGGGTCGGGGGTGTTGAGGGTCGGGGTCCTCTGGGGTCCCGGGGGTCTTTTGGGGGCACGGTGTGTTGGTGGCCGGGGTGTTGGGGAGGGCCATGGGGGTTGAGGGTCGGGGGTGTTGTGTGCCGTGAGTCTTGGGGCCGGGGGTGTTGAGTGCCGGGGTCTTGGGGGCCGGGGGTCTTGGCGCCGGGGGGTTTTGAGGGCCGTGGGTGTTGGGGGCCGGGGGGTGTTGAGGGCCGGGGGTGTGGGGGGTGGCCGCCGGGGTTGTTTGTGCCAGGGTGTTTTGGGCCGGGGAAGGTGCGGGTCGGGCGTTTTTTAGGGGCGGGGTGTTGAGGGTAGGGGGTGTTGGGGGCCGGGGGTGTTGGGGGCCGGGGGTGTTGGGGCCGTGGGTGTTGGGGGCCGAGGGGTGTTGGGGGCCGGGGTTTGGGGGCCGGGGGGTGTTTTGGGGCCGGGGTTTTGAGGGTCGATTGTTGGGGCCTGGGGTTCTTGGGTTGGTGGGCGCGGGGGTTTGAGGTCGGGTGGTCTTGGTGGCCGGTGTGTGAGGGCCGGGGGTGTTGGAGGTCCGGGGGTGTGAGGGCCGGGGGTTGGGTTGAGTCCGGGGGTGTTGAGCTGCCGGGGGGTGTTGAGGGCCGGGGTTGTTGGGGCCGGGGGGCCGTGGGGGGTCAGGGCCCGGGGGAGTTGAGGGCCGGATTTGGGTGTTGAGGGTCGGGGGTGTTGGGGGCCCGGTGGTGTTGGGGGCCGGGGGGGTTGAGGTGTCGTTGGTGTTGAGGGCCCGGGGTGTTGAGGGTCGGGGGTGTTGAGGTCGGGTGTCCTTGGGGGTCATAGGGCCGGGGGAGTTGGAGGGCCGTGTGAGTTGGAGGCCGGGTGGAGTTGGAGGCCGGGGGTCTTGGGGGCCGGGGGTCTTGGGGGCCGGGGGTCTTGGGGGCCGGGGGTCTTGGGGGCCGGGGGTCTGGGGGCCGGGGGTCCTTGGGGGTCAGGCCGGGGTCCTTGGGGGCCTGGGTCTTGGGGGCCCCCGGGGGTCTTGGAGCCGGGGGTCTTGGAGGCCGGGGTCCCGTGGATGCCGGGGGTCTTGGAGGCCGGGGGTGTGGAGGGTCGGGGGTGTTGAGGTGCGGGGGTGTGAGGGTCGGGGGGTGTGAGGGTCCGGGGGTGTTTAGGGTCGGGGGGTGTGAGGGTCGGTGGTGTTTGAGGGTCAGAGGTTGTTGAGGGTCGGGGGTGTTGAGGGTCGGGGGTGTTGAGGGTCGGGGGTGTTGAGGGCCGGGGGTGTTGAGGGCCAGGGGGTGGGGGTCCGGGGTGTTGCGGCCGGGGGTGTTATTGAGTCCCCATGTGTGTTGAGGGCCAGGGGAGGGTGTTGGAGGGCCAGGGGTGTTTGAGGGTCGGGGTGTCTTGGGTGCCGTGAGTCCTTGGGGGGCCCCCCGGGGGTGTTGGGGGCAGGGTGTTTGGGGGCCAGGTGTGTTGCGGGGCCTGGGAGTCTTGGGGGCCGGGGGTGTTGGGGGGTCCAGGGTGGTGGGGGCCGTGGGTTGTTGGTGCCAGGGGTGTTGATGTCCTGGAGTGTTGAGGGCCGGGACGTCTGGGGGCCGTGGGTTCTTGTTGGCCGGGGTTCCGTGTGGGTGAGCCGGTTGGGTGGTTTGAATTTTCTTGTGTCCGTGGGCCTGGGGTGTTGAGGGCCAGGGTTGTTTGTAGCTGGGGTCTTCAAGAGCCGGGTTGTGCGGCTGTTGAGGGGCCGTGGGTCCCTTGAGGGCGTGGTGGTCGTGGGGGGCTGGTGGTCGTGGGGGCCGGGGGTCTTGGGGGCCGGGGATTTCTTGGGGGTGCCGGGGGTGGGGGGTCTTTGGTGGGCCGGGTGTGTTGGGGCAGTGGCCGGGGGAGTTGGAGGCCGGGTTGTTGGGGCCAGGGGTTTGTTGGGGGCCGGGGGTCTTGGAGGGCGGGGGTCTTGGAGGCCGGGGCTTGGAGGCCGGGGGTGTTGGGGGCCCAGAGGAAGAGTGATACAAATATGGGGGCCGGGGATCTTGGGGGCCGGGGGTCTTGGGGGCCGGGGGTCTTGGGGGCCGGGGGTCTTGGGGGCCGGGGTC